AAATATTAACATTGGCTTACTTTTCATACTTTACTCTATTCCTTCTTTTGTGTATTTATTTATTTTATTTTGATTTACAGCTTGATTCCACACCGTATTTTCAGTACAAGTATGAAATTTTCAGCATGGATATCGGTGGCCCAAATTCAGGCCGACCATAGATATCGGGTGTGCGCCGGCAGGGGATCGAACCCCGGACCATGTGCATGGTCGGCGAGAGTCCTAACCACTGTGCCACCGACTATATTAGCACTATGAGTAGTACAAAATTGTCCTATCAATAACCATCATGTAATTATTAGTTTTTGTGGTTGTTTTTTTTTGTTCGGCGATATTAAGTGACAATCTTGGTTGTGAACGCCATTATCACCATCTTAAAATTTTGTATTATGCAGGATTACTCACACTACCACTACAAACACTGCATTAGACCTGAAAATAAAAAACAAAACAACAACCCTGAAATGTTATTTTATGATTGTTTAGTGTTGTTTCAATCTAATTAACTGATCATCTTGGCGATAAACATTCTTAAATATCATTTCATAACTTCTTGTATGACTAAAGCTTTACTGTCACCATGCATAATCATATCATAGCTTCCACTACCCAACACTGAGATATTATTTTATGTTGTTTATTTTCCTTACTACTTCTTGGTATTTTTTCGCATTTATAATTATTTTTGTGTTTATCCTGTTTGTTTTTTTGCTGTTGGTGTCTGTAGATTTATTTCTTGAAATACTTTTAAATGTTTGATAAAATAAGATGCATATATTGTAGATATGTGCTGAAAATTCCACACTGTGCGACTAGTACTGTTTCTGGAATAAAGCAAATTATTATTATTATTATTATCATTGACTATGTTCCAGTAACATTTTGGAAGTAAGTTGATACTCAGAACTGACGTCTCTGTAAATTCACATTTTCATTACAAATGTAAAGAAGGAGGGGTAGGCTGTTTCAACAGTATGACTGGTCATAAACTCCCTCCCATATGACGTAATCTACATTTAGTAATAATCACCGTTAGATTCCAATAAATGCCCCTACTCACACAGGACTTATTTATAATTGATTAACTCTTTTGCTTCAGTGGAAAATTTTGATAGAAGTAAATTGTTGTCAGCAGACGTCTTATGACCATTTATTTGCCGGATGAGAAATTTTAATTTGCATTTGTGATATCGTCCATTATTACTGAGTATCATTTGCAATTTCATCTTCTATTATTCAACAAAAGGGTTCTCTCTTACAATTTTTATAGGGTGAGATGATCATTTTTAAGATTTTCAGATCAATTTAATAGGGAAATATTATTTCATAAAGGTATTCACTGAGTATTTAAATGTTCGCGTTACAAAACGGAAAACTGATTAGTGAATATGGAATATTCTTCTCGGTAACGTCTTCACCTTCATCAGTGACATTCATGTTTCCATATTAATCTGGGAATAATTAGCATGATAGACAATAAATAGTCGTTTAAAACTGAAGCATTACTATTAGGCTAATATGAGGGCTTGATACTAGTTGGCTGTGCTTGAGCATATTCGATAACATGCATTGATTCTCTCCAGGATGATGCAGCTTAGTGTTTTGCTCGAGATGGACGGGAGCATAATACCACGCCACTTCCTGCATTGACCTAAGTCTCCTTTCTTTGGCAGTTTTAATAATTGGCTTTTCCTTCAATCAGCAGGTACCTCGCCCTCTTTCCACACCTTCTCCAGTAGTGGTGTCATCAAGTTCGCTGACGTCTCTGGGTCCATTTTCAATGCCTCCGCTTGAATTCTGTCTGGTCCTGTTGCTATTGTAAACTTGACTGACATAAGTATAAAGATATATATGCAGAATTCTACATTTTGAGAATGATAACGCTGAGATGAGTAACTTCTCGTTGAATGTCGCTTTTCTTTAAATTACACAATATGTGGTCCGTCTATCAATGAAACATTTAAGATTCAGTGAGTTAAGCATTCATCAAAAAGCATTCTTTAGCAAAACCGCTTCATTTACAAACACAAATTTGGATATTTTGGAAGGCATCAATTATTGGATAATTCCACCCCCCCCCTCAAAATCAATAGGTATTATTGTCTGTTATGTGAGTGAAAAACAAACAGGAAGTTCGCTTTTGAACTACCACTACTAATACGACTACTGTATGACAACAACATTTTCAAAATATACCAATTTACTGAAAGAGTCGCATTACATACACTCACAATGTGATATCATATTCTTATTTCAAAAATGACACATTGTATACACAAGACAGACTGACTGGTTTCAAAGCAGAACTTTGCACTGATGTGCAGCAGTTCAGCTTGCCACTCTCTCTCCATATAGCACATAAAGCCAAAGAAAAGAGCAATAATACTAATAAGTTCCTTTATTCCAAAAACAGTACTTATAATATAGAATGGAATTCTCAGCATTTGTCACAATATTGCATCTGATTTACTTAAAATATAAATAAAATTAAAAATTAAAACAAAATTTACCAGAGGAATTTGTCCACATTTACGACATAATTATTAGATATAATAATAATAACAGTGAGTTTGTTTCAAACGGTATTGTCGATTCAGTTGGGGAACTTTAGCATGTTATAGATTATTGGGTCTAATGTTCTGTTGATATAGCAGTATAGTGAGGGGAAATACAAAATTAACAGTTATGATACAGCGTAAAATTATGTCCACACCTATGAAAAAAATAAACAAAACGAAAAAGTTGAGAGGATTATAAATATAAGAAATACAATAACAATAAAGTATGATGCTTTAAAGGTGAAGGAAATGGTTAATTTAGTGGTGCTAAGATGGTTAGTTAGTTCATTTCTGACTCTATTTTCATCACATAAAGTACGTGCCAAATATGTTATAGTGGAATTTTTATACTCAGACGTACGTGCATAAAGACTTGTGAAAAGACTTCTTGTTTTACCTGAGGAGACACAAGGTTGGAGCTGTGGGTGCTGAGGTGGATGATCACAGTCTGACGAAATTCCATTAGCAAATTTGTTGCATAAAAATCAAGTACCTATCAGTGACAATGTCAACGATATGGCCCAATGGATTACCACTACTCGCCCTACTGACAGTCTTCACAGTTCCACGAAGTATGACATAGTCTCTTTTTAAGCAATCCAGGAAAGAATAAGTGTGAGCAGTAAAGAAGAATAGGTAAAATACACGAGTTGACAAACTGTAAGAGGAGTGGTTGAGTTATGCCTGAATGCCTTAACTTTTTAATGTGAAAAGTCAAACTAAATATTCTTTCAGAAATCGCAAAGACATGGGAAGACCAAGATAGGTCAGAAGAGAGAATTAAACCAAGATACTTAACTTCAGACTCGGATTCTATATCAGTACCATCGATGTTTCAAGGGTCATGGGAACCGACGGCTTCATTTAACTTTCGTTCACATCGGAAACTGAAATTAACAGTCTGACATTTGTAAGGATTAAGTTTAAGGCCGTTAGACGAAGACTATTTGCTAATTCCTGATAGAAAGTTGTTAATCTTAATACAGTCAAGCTGACAGTTAACAGACATTGAAATAATTAGATCATCGGCATACTTAACAAGTAGAGAGAGATTCTTGATCTCCGACGAAATTTCAGCACGAATACAGAGGGCTAGGTTCGCATTCGCCAGTTTTCGCCGTCTCTGGCGTAGACGCGATATCCGACTATCGACCAAAGGGCGTGTGTACTGCTCAACAGTCCGCTCCGTCCTCCTTTATGGCTGTGAGACCTGGCCATTGAGAGCAGAAGACATGAAAAGATTAGCTGTCTTCGATCATAGGTGTCTGCGTTCTATCTCCCGCGTGAAGTGGAATAATAAGGTGAGCAATATTGAGGTTAGGCGTCGAGTGCTAGGTAAGGCAGGGAAATCAATCGACGAGACTGTGAAATTGCATCGACTGAGATGGTTAGGACATGTGCTACGTATGCCTAGTCATCGCCTTCCTCGACGGGCAATGTTAGCTGATATAGGGTCAGGCTGGAAAAGAGCTAGCGGCGGTCAAACCAAAACATGGCACCAATCAATGAAATCCACAACAGTTAATCTAAGCCACGTAGGAAGATGTAGACTTCCTGGTTGGGGCCCTCGGGATGGTAAAAACCAATGGTTGGAAACAATTGGCGACATGGCTCAAAATCGTTCTCAGTGGCGCAGATGCATCCACTCCTTGTGACTTATCATTTCCAGTTAAACTGTTTTGTTCTCCGTTATTACTATTCCTTTGTCTCACACCTCTGTTTACTGTCTATATTTTGCATTTCTTCTACTTCCTTCTCTTGCTTTGCGTGCTACATGGATTGTGGCGACTTGAACTGCCGCACATATGTGCAAAGTTCTATGTCGAAAACAGACAGAGACAGACAGACAGAGAGAGATTCAAAACAGAGGTAATCAACACAAGTTTAAGTGAGGGAAACGATAGTTTTACTGAATATGACAAATCACAAAGGGTGGATGCATCTGCGCCAGCCATCACCGAGAACGATATTCAGTCATATCACCAATTGTCTCCAGTCTTCATTGATTCTTACCATCCCAACTACCCCAACCAGACAGACAGCCAGTCTACACATCCCTACCTGCTTGGCTGGCTAGTTTTAACTTTCACGGATTTCATTGACTGATGAAGCCATTATTAGCCTTTTTCCAACTTCATCGATCCTATGTCAGTTAACAATGCCCGTGGAGGAAGGCGATGGTTAGACATGCGCAACACTTGTCACAACTATTTCATTTGACGTTGCTTGACAACCTCGACGTTTGACTTCCCTTCCAACTCACTTAATACTCTACCGTAACCGAACCTCAATATTGCCCATCCTATTATACCACTTCACACGAGAAATCGAACCCAGACAATATGATCTTAAAGACAACTAAGCAGTCTTTTCACGTCTAGCTGAAAGTGAATTTAGTTGAAATCCTGCTTTAGCGGTTAAACAAACTGTGTACAATAGCGATCAAGTAAAATACAAGTCGAAGAGACACATATGTGTGTTAACACATACACATATACTACTTATATTAGTGTTTTCTTCGTCTCCTTTGAAATGAAGATTCCATTCACTTTCAGATTTTTTAACTTTACTGTCAGGTTCATCTGTATCAGTAGCAATACAATTGATATGTGAACGTTTATTAATAAAATCAGATGATATATTACGGCCATTATTTGTTATGCATCCATTAGAATTTTTATCATCACTAGTATTATTTGATGATAAACTGAATGTATCAACACTCAACATCAAAAATAAGATCCGGATTTTCAACTCCAATGTGAAGTCAGTGCTACTTACTATACGGATCAGAGACTTGGCGCGTCATAAAGACCATCTCAAACAAACTACAGACCTTCGTTAACAGTTGTCTTCGCTCAATACTCAAGATCAGATGGCCGGCCAGAAAAGATCAGCAACAGAGATCTCTGGCAATGAGCGAACCAACCAGGAACCGATTGTGAAACGAATAGGCAGGAAGAAATGGAGATGGATTGGCTGGCCATAATCTGAGGAAACCATCAAGTGACATCACTAGACAAGCCATTGCTCGAGTGGAACACGAAAGGGAAGCGGCGAGTTGGTCGTCAGTGCAAGGGTGACTTGGAGGAGGTCATGTGAAGAGGAGATGAAAACGTGTGGGCAGACTTGGAGCCAGGTGAAGACTCTAGCAGAGAACCGAACGCAATGGAGACGCGCGGCTGAAGCCCTATGTTCCTGTAGGCATTAAAGGACACAATAATAATAATAATAATGACTTTGTCAAAGTAATGGTGTACCAGACTGTCAAGAATTTAATAATTCACTCTGAAAAACAAAACAAAATAAAAGTGAAGAATTAGTTCAAAAACAACAACAAAAATTATCACCATCTTTGGTAATATAAATTAATACAGAAGAATATGAATTACACACTAAGAAGACATGTCCTTGAGTCAAATTCCATTGGGTAAGCGAAACGATGGAGTTGACAGTCTGGCAGTGACATGGCAAAGATTATGAGATGACGAGATGGAGGCTTGTCAGCAGTCATGGAGCAACTAGGTAAAATTGATGACAGGAAATCTAGTATGATAAAGATGTACTGCCGATGCTCTATGTGTCACCCATTCAGAACACAACAAAGAAATAATAATAGTGGTATAACTCGAACTGAATCTACTGTACAGATTCTCGTAGTGAGCTGCTAACTTCCTATACCAAAATCTCTACTGACATCTATGTAGACGAGCGTAGTTCATTAGCTTAAGCGTCTAACCATCAGCCTGTGGTTCAAATGTTCGAATCACGCTTCAACTATGTTTAGCCATGGCGCTCATTTAATGACTAGTAAGGAAGGCTTCGTGTGCTGTTGGAAGTGTGTGGGTGGTTGTTACTTCCCGGCTGCCTACACCGTGGAAGCTAATTGATTCTTCGGGTACCTGAAAGAGAAAGAGGATTAGTGTTGCGTGACCGCAGAGCCCATGGGAGAACTGCTTGAGACCGGTCACACATGGCCTGTGTGAACTGGTTTCTTGGATTGGTTCCGTATAAGTAAAATCACCGCAGGTTACGGACCACTGTAGGCTAAGTCGGAATGTACAATATTTGAGGGCCGACCTCTTCTAACCCTGTCCCTCCAGAGTGGAGAGACAGCATAACTGGCTGGCATGCTGGTCATCTAAGGGAAACACCATACTGCTATTACATCCCTGTCCCCCAGCAGTACAACTATGCCCAAATACCCCCCCAGAATAGTATAAAAAAATTCTTACACTATACCGGTAACTGCTTTTAGTCTAATCGCTATCCTAAAAACCTTCCTGGCATGGTAGGACCCACAGGAACAGTAGTTCCAGCCAGTGTAGTTTCATTATCTTGTTGACATACCCCTATTTTGCTTTCAATAGCACGTAGTTCATCGCAAAGCATTTTGCGTGAATCCATTAAATTAGTTAAGTGATATCTTACAGCTGCCATACTGACATGCATATCCAAATCCATTTTAACCTAGCTTCGAACACGTGTCGCAAAATCGAATTTACTAAATATGGCAACAATAGAAAAATTTTCTATAGTTTGGTTTGTAAGGATTAGTTATGTTTTACGAGTTGATCACGGACCGATATCAGTTAGAGGACCATTGAAAACCAGGGAGTACTGGACAGATGCTGTTTCATCCTAGTTTGGGAATCATCGGCAGTACGCACACACTGGGATTCGAACCCAGGACCTTCCGGTTACAAGGCAAGCTCGTATACTATTCAGCCACTGGGACCCGATTCAATGGCCAGCCCATGAATTCTAACTTCTACCAATTCGTGATTTTAATATTAATAATAACTTGCATCTGAATAAACCATATCACATTGAAACAGTTAAGAATACAACTTATGTGGCTGAAAAAGCAAAAACGTGGGCAGGCAATCAATGAGTGGCGGCTGTACACACCTGTATGTGTACATGCGTGTGTGTGTGTGTACTCTGCAGTAGTCCACTCTGTCCTCCTTTATGGCTGTGAGACACTGCCATTTGAAGTGAGAGGTACGATGAGAAGGCCAGCTCCCCATGACTGCAAATGTCACCGTTCTACTTCCCATGTTAAGTGGTTTAATATGCTTTCTAGTGGAATTCTATTCACTGGACAATAATAGGTTACATCTCATGTTTAGTAGTGCTGATGATGACAAAACCTGATTATCAAACAGGAGGCAGAAACTACAAATGACTTAATAGACCATCTCGCCAGGCTACTGCGTCAGTGACTCCAAGGTAGACTCTTGGTCAGCGACGCAGGTCACCCGGGGTGAAGTCCCGACCGGTACACTTTAAGACCTCACTAAAGCCTGCCAACTCTGCAAGAACAACCTCATCGATACTAAAAATTCACAGCTCTAAGCTTGAAGACCTGTGCAGCACTCAGATTGCAAGGGATAAAAACATTGAAAGCTGAGTCCCTAGATCACCTGTAGAGCCCATTCGATAGGTTTTAAACAGCTGCCAGGATCATCAGATAGTTATTTTGATATAGTTTGAAACTTTTCGGCAGTGTGCAACAACTTCCCCGAGGATAATCCAGTGAAAAACTATTTCAGTAATAAAACTCCCACTTCATCAAAACAACTTTACTGCTTTTCTTCATTCGATACGTGCACTTTCTAGCTAATGAATAAAAGACACACAGTTACAACAATCCTGACGCTACCTACTACTGACTGAATGAAATGGCTAGCTGCATACCAACACTCACATCAACCAATGGTAGTGTTTGCTAGCTAGATCGAAGCCGTTTGAATCCCAGGCGGTCGTCCCACTTGTTTGGGACCAAACTCATCAGCTTTGTATCCAGTTTGATTCTGCCCGTAGAACCGCATAAGTTCCTCTAAAAACAGAAATTATTCCAGCCACAATATGTGATCCGCTGGATACCGTGAATGACAGTCAAGAGAGCAAGCACAAAGGCATGACACTATACACTAACACAACAACAACAACGCCACCTCAACAATCTTAGTATAAACAACATACGACAAACATTTGCAATTGAAGGTGTTCTCTGAGCTGGTTGGTTTAGTTGCGAAGCTTTCGTTGTTCTTCTGGGCAACATATTCAGCTTCGCAACTAAACCAACCAGCTCAGAGAACACTTTTAACTGCAAATCATCCACCTGAGCTACAAATCTTCTCTATTATACAACAAACATATTCAAGTGTTGGTTTGCATGGATTTGATTGGTTGCAGGATTCCATCATGAGTTGACATAGGTCAGAGAACCATTGGGAAACCAAGAGGGAGTGCCGAACAGTTGTTTCCTACGTCCTAATTTCGAACTCTTCATCACTACGCACCCACCGCCAGGAGTCCGAACCCAGGAACTTGTGGTTACAAGACGAGCTCGTATACCATTCAGCCACTAGGACCCAATTCAATGGCCAGCCCATGAATTCTAACTTCTATCAATTCTGGATTTTAGCACGACCACTAGTCACTGTCATCGGTGGGAAATCCATCCTCACCCCCAACTTCATAGACCTCAGTACCTGTCACTTAAAAACGCCAGAGTTATCTACTAGGCTGCTGGTTTATTACATCCATACTTTGTGCAGTAGATATGATTTGGAATTATTTAGCCATGCTTGTGATTTACAGTCGGTATACTTACGTTGAACTAATGATCACCTTAATTTCCATATATGAGCTCGTCAATGAAATGTGCCTCATCATGTCTGAAATTCGGAACATTAACTCAGTATCACTCGATTTTTGATGAAATTACGGTTTCAAGCAATGTAAAATCAGGCGGACTGAACTGTTAAACATTAAAATCACACTCTTCGTTCACCTGTATACATCATCCTTAGACTGGTATTGTTACATCTGGTCAGTTAAATATATACTGGATTCTTACTATGACCAATTTTAGTAATTCTCAATGGAAATGAAATTGAAAATAATAATAATACTAGTATATTACGCCTAGATGGTCAGGGGAACCTAATTACCGATATTGATACTGTGCATTAAAGACAGATTACCCGAAATGGCGACATCAATGTGTGTATATAAATTCAACTGCTCCTGTGGAGCTAGTTATATAGGTCTTACCCAAAGGAATTTATCTTTTTTACGCACTCGTGAACATATTCCTGTTTGGCTTGGGAAAAGAGCAACCAAACCAATAAATAGTGCAATTCTGTCTCATCTAGTGGATAGTGAACACAGCATCAAAGTAGAAGAGTCATTTACAGTTGTGTATCGAGTACCAAACAATCTCCCCAAAGGCACACGATTACACCTCTTAGCCATAGCTGAGGCTTTAGAGATTAATAGAGAAAGACCAGACTTATTCACTCCGTCTGTCTACCCTGGCCCACTATAAGGTCACCAGGATCATAATTTTCCGTATTATTATTACCATTATTATCATGTCTTTATTATCCATTTCTCCACCCAGTTTATTTCACCTCATTGTTACCCATAATTTTATCAACCTTTGTGATTTTACACTAAGCCTACCAACTCTGTAACATCTTATTACAATTTAGCCTCTTCATTTTATCATTAGACATTATCGGTCAGCCCTCACATTCCGTGTCCCCTTTGTTAATGTGTGTTCGTGTGCATTTTGTGTCTATTGCATTTCTCTCACCCCAATGACACTTGTATTCTGTTGACTATAAAACAACACTATATCACCCAATTGTTCATTCACACTTCATCACATTTTTTCTGACTATAAACCCTATACACATTTGATTGATTATGTTAAC